TGTTTAATAACCACCATTAATGGTTGTGGTGGTATAATAAAAATAATAGTGGCGAGTGGTGGTGTAATAAAAAAGACGATAATGATTAAAAAAGTGATGGTAGAATAATAATAACAATAATTTTGTTTGTTTTTGAAAAAAAATGTAATGGTGGTGGTGGCAAAGGTAGGAATGATGATAGTAGTATGAGTAGTTAATACACAATAAATAAAATAAAATATCATTATTTTGAAGAGAAAAAAATATATATTCTCATTCATTATTTTTATTCTCACATCTCCTCATGGAAGTGAAACTGTGTTTAGTTTTCATTTTTATTTCTATTTCATTCTTTTCAACCAAACACCTATAAAATAAAAATAAAATTTCAATTCTTGTTTCAACCATTTAATTTGTTTATTATCAAACATCACACTATTGTCTTCAAAAATATACAAACTAGCTAATCGGATGCCATGTGACGAGAAACATCTAAATTAGTTGGGGAGTTAGTAGCAGATTGGTCATACTTCGTTTACACCTTTTGGCAATATGATTTATCCGATTATAAATCTAACAAGAGTCCTTAAACTTTGAATTCCTCCTCATTTTATTAATTTGAAATTTTTTGTCATTAGCAATTCTATTTTCGTTTTTCTTAAATCTCTTGAACTTGGAATTTTGAGATCAATTTTGAAAATTAGACTTCCTACCTCACTTAATTACGTTTACCATATTAACTCGTTAGTTTAGGTATCCAAGATCCAACTTTTTTGAATGACTTGAATGTTGTATTATTGCATTTATATTAATAAAAAAAGCATTTCTATTAATTTATATTGTTTAAAACGTGATAGAATTAGATAAAAGTTCATATGATATTCATTACCTTGATAATTGATCAATATATGTGAGACAAATACTAATATACTTAAATGATATCATTAAATTTCTAAAGTCATAACATAGTCAAAATTGAGCATTGACAATATGTGAGAAGACTTATGTGTGTTATGATCTTGCTATACAAGTAAGTTTTGAATCTTGGATAAAGGATAAAAAGACAAACGACCTCGTTATATTTTCTCCGGCCTATCTTGATATAACATTTTTAATATAAATTTTTTCAAGTTTTCAGCAATTTATCTTGACTGTAATTTACTTTCTATAAATTTATTGTTTGTAGCTTTATATTTAATCATTATCCTTTTCTTATTGTGTAACTTACTTGCTTTATTTATAGATTTGTTTATTGCTTTCTATACAAGCGTTAAGTCTATTTAATTTTTTTTCTCATGCAATTTAATGTTTTCTTATAGTTTTACAAGTGTCTCACTTGATATATGCTCCTAACAGTTTACTCTTAGAATCTCTATTATTTATTGCTCATTATAAGATTCACAATTTTTTTTTATAAGCTTTAAACTTTGTTGACCAATTACTCATATGTCAATAGCTCAATGAAATCTTAATTGTTTGAACCAATATCGACCTCTATGATTTTACAATGGATCTAAGTTTTTAGATCTATATTTTGATTTACTTTTTATTGCTAAATCTAATACATATTAGGCTTTATTAGGATAATTTTTATTTATACAAGATAGCATCGCTAATCTTGCTTACGTAGGCTTGTTGTGTCTAGATTTTTGAGAGATTTTGCAATATGTTAGAGTTATAAAAATCAAACTTTTGGAAGGAGGGGAGCCTTAGTCACCATTATTCAAATTCCATGATTTACCCGAATGGAGTTCTAAATTTTTCATGAAACTAGAAACTTTTTTTTTTCTTTTCTTTTTTTCACTATGCAGGAAATTCACCAAAAAAAAAAAAAAAAAATTCCCTTCAAGCATCGTCGAGACTAACGTAAACAGCTACTCGTGCTAACTGGACCCGTATTGCTGTACTTGCCTTGCAAAAGAAAAATGAGCCCGATTGATAGTGATGTGTCCAAGCTAATCTTGTCAGTGGAAGTAGGGCATTCAATGCAAAATAAGTACATTGTCTATCGAATAAGGATGCTATTCTCGTGAGGTTGCAACCCCCTGGTTGGATCATAATCAATACTAGTTACTTATTCAGTTATTCTGTCTCAAAAAAATCATCCAAATTTTTATATATAACTATTATAAAATATTTTTTGATTAAAATTTTCAATAGTATATTTTCTTAAAATATTTTTAATTAAAATTTATTTTATTAAAAATTATTCAAATATAATTTTTTTAAAAATATAAATAAAAATAGTGATATGATAAAACAATAAATAATAATTTTTATTTTTATAAAAAAATAAAAAGAATAATTTTTTTAAAATGATGAGAATAATAATTTCCCTTGAATTGCTTATGAATAGGAGGCAAGACCCTAAACATGTAACATTATGGTTTCGGGCTGTAAATGCTATAAATTCTTATGATTTAAAAAAAAAAACAAAAATCGAACTCGAAATATCTTAGAAATTACAAGGAACTGTGCTAATATTTGAATAATATTAATTACCTAGAACGGATCTGTATCCTAAAACTTCATTTACAGCCTAGCTCAAAGCGAATTAAATCAAACCACAGCTCAAGTAGTATAAATTAATTAACAGTTAATGCGACTATTATTAATGAGTTAAAGTAATAAATCATCCATGTACTATATCATGTCTTTCAACTATATATATAGTTGATTTAGTTTAGTAATAAATCATCATTGGCTCAATACCTTCCTTAATAAAAACAAACAATAGTTGTTTTAGTATACGTAATACGTTTGTAAGCTAACATATGTCTAAATTTTAATTTAAAGTCATTTTTTTTTCAATAAGGAATAAATTATGCATAAAAAAACAATTTTTTAAAAGAAAAAAAATTATATTTCAATAATAAAAAAATTTACAAATCTTTATTTATAACCTTTTCAATAAAAGAACAATCTTTTCATTTTTTTTTTTCATATTTATAATTTTCTTGAAAAATCAAAAGGTAATATTTATAATTTCAACAAATATTTTTTATACTTTTTATTTATACTTTTCTTCAAAAAATTTATAAAAAAATTATATCTTTCAAATATTTATAATTTAAAATAATTTTTCTATATTTTTTTATTTTAAGTAAAAAAAAATTCCTTAAAAATTTAAAAGAATTTTTTCAAAACTTTTTTCCTTCACTGAAAAAAATATATAAATAAAGAATTTTTTTTAAAAAAAATTCTTTTAATAAAAAATTATTTTAATATTATTTCAAACTTTTTTCTTTATTTATAATCTTTTTCTTTTAGTGAAGAAAGAAATTATTTTTTAAAATTAAAATTTAAACATATGAGACCTTACAAATATGCTACATGTCTTAAACTAAATTCTGGTTTATTGTTTGCTTAAATGAAAGACATATTGAAAAAAATATATATATAGATTAATGATTGTAGGAGTCCTTTGTTCTTTTTTTCTTTTTTCTTTTTTTTTTTTAATCATGTTTTCTTACTTTTTCATAATAAATTGGTTGTTTTATATTTGATTTTTGTCTTAGATTCATCATTTCATTAAGCATTTGGGTTGATAGTGTTAAATCACACAATTAGCTACATATAATTGCAATAATGTCAACTTTTTTTTTTTTTTTTAAATCTCATCTTTCTACTTTTTTTATTGAAATTAAAAAAAAAGTAAAGATAAAAATATTTTTTCTATCTAAAATATTGTTTATGAGTTTAAATTTATCTCTATGACACTAAATACATTTTGAGTATAAAATGAAATATTTATAGTATATTTTAAAAAATATCAAGAGAATTTGAGTTCAATTTTTTTAAATTTTTGAATGATATTTATGAAAAAAAAATGAAATTAAAATATAAAAATTAATTCTCAAATAATTTTAAAATGAAAAGAAGTTAGTTTAGCCCATTGGATTGCTATAAAAGATCACAAGTTTACTTTGCCGTGAAATCTGGCCAGTTTTCGAAGAAAAAACAACTTGATTGATCTTTTAGTCACATGTGGTAAAGGATTCATATGTTGACCATTAAAACATGTTAGCTAAACTAACCCACATATGACAGCTGGGTTTACTGCTGAGCCAACATTTCAGAATTTTTTACAAAACAAAATAATTTGGAATCTACCATATCAGATCCTTGAAACATGGGAAGTTTTATTATTATTATTAATGTTTAATTTGACCTAAACGGCTGGCTATTTGAAGATACCTGAAGTGCATGCATGATGATTAAGAAAGTACCAAGATTCTTCTTTTTTCCACATAATTAAAACGACACTTCATAGAATATTTTATGTTCACAAATTATTATATGTTAAATTCTTGGATATTAATTTATAATGTGAACGTATTATAGTAACAGGGAAAATGGACATCAAATTAAATGACAAGCCGCAATTTGCTTGGAAATGCAATTATTAGTTATATGTCAATTTATCAATCGACGAAAATACCAAAGAATAGTATAATATCTCTAATAGGCAAAATAAATAAATTGCTATAAAAAAAGAATAATCAACTCGAGGCATTACTCCCTATTCTGATACGTCAATATCTATAATTTGCCAATTGCTTGAACATTCGGACACTACTTCCCCCAAGTTGCTATCCAATTAATTTAATAACATCCATTTTCACACTCTATGCACAAAATATACATACATCTTAAACATTTCTAATTGATTTTTTCGTTATATATATATATATATATATTTGATATTTTTTATTAACACGTTTGTTGATGATTTCACACACAAATTAAAGAAAACAAGATTAAAGATTCAAAAGCTACCACCACAAACTCTTTACTCCTTACCTTACCTGCTTTTGGCTATATAAAGCTAAAAAAAATCCCAGAGCACTTAGAATCTATCCTCCTTAGATCCACAAATCACATTTTGCCATCATTTATAATTATCTCGCTCTCTCATAAAACCTCCATCTCTGCCTTAATTTAATTCTGTGTGTATGTTTATATATATAGAGAGAGAGAGATAATTAAACATTGATCGGATTCTAGCTAGGTAATAAAAAATGGAGATTGGATCTTCACCACCACAAAATCAAAAGCCTTTAACAAGGCTAAACAATTATGTAGCCAAATCCCGAGTTGGAAAAAGATTCAAACTCGCTGATCGTAACTCAACTTTCACAACCGAGTTACGTGCTGGCACAGCCACCTTCCTTACCATGGCATACATCTTAGCCGTCAACGCTTCCATCCTCACCGACAGCGGCGGTACATGCACCGTTTCTGACTGTATCCCACTATGTTCAGACCCGACAGTTCCAGTTTCCAGCTGCAGCGGCTCAACTGATCTTCGAGTAATCCAACCTGATGAGTCATGCAAATTCGACCCGGTTAACCCGGGCTACTCTTCTTGTTTAGAGAAAGTACGTAAAGACCTGATAGTAGCCACTGTGGCATCTTCTCTAATTGGCTGTTTAATCATGGGTGCATTTGCTAATCTCCCATTGGCTCTGGCTCCGGGTATGGGTACTAATGCTTATTTTGCTTATACGGTCGTCGGGTTTCACGGGTCGGGTAATGTCTCGTATAAGAGTGCGTTGGCTGCTGTGTTTATTGAAGGCTTAATTTTTTTAGCCATTTCAGCAATTGGATTACGTGCAAAATTAGCTAAACTAGTCCCTAAACCGGTTCGGATCAGCTCCTCTGCCGGTATCGGACTTTTTCTTGCCTTTATCGGGTTACAGAGTAATCAAGGAATCGGGTTGGTTGGGTACAGTTCATCTACTCTAGTCACGCTGGCAGGGTGTCCAAGCTCATCACGTGCGTCGTTAGCTCCCGTTATGACGTTAGCTAATGGAACTGTTAGTTTGATCCCGGGCGGTACCGTTTCCGGCGATATCTTTTGCCTCCGGGACCGCATGGAGAGCCCTACCCTATGGCTTGGTGTGGTTGGATTTGTTATAATTGCTTACTGCTTAGTGAAAAACGTTAAAGGGGCTATGATTTACGGGATTGTTTTCGTAACTGCAATTTCATGGTTCCGTAACACTAAAGTAACAGTGTTTCCTAGCACAGAAGCAGGCGATGCCGCATATGAATATTTCAAGAAAGTTGTTGATATACATGTAATTGACACTACAGCCGGGGCATTAAGTTTTAAGAGTATTGGCAAAGGTTATTTTTGGGAGGCTCTCATCACATTCTTATATGTGGATATATTGGACACTACCGGTACCTTATATTCTATGGCTCGGTTTGCCGGGTTTTCGGATCAAAATGGCGATTTCGAGGGTCAATATTTTGCCTTCATGTCGGATGCCACATCAATCGTCGTCGGGTCATTGCTCGGCACGTCACCGGTGACGGCATTCATCGAATCATCAACAGGAATCAGGGAAGGTGGGCGGACGGGTCTAACCGCCTTAACTGTGGCTGGGTATTTCTTCTTGGCATTTTTCTTCACGCCGTTACTGGCATCCATACCAGCTTGGGCGGTGGGCCCACCCTTGATATTAGTTGGAGTTCTGATGATGAAGTCAGTGGTGGAGATAGAGTGGAACGATATGAGGCAAGCCATACCAGCTTTTATGACATTGATTTTAATGCCTTTGACCTATTCGATTGCTTATGGTTTGATTGGTGGGATTGGAACGTATATGGTTTTGCACTTGTGGGATTGGGCTATGGAGGTCTTAGTCAAGTTGGGTGTTATAAACAAGAGAAATGGAGGTGGTGGGGCTGGGGATGGGGATGTGAATGGGAATGGGAATGGGGTCAATGGGATGATGCATGATCAAGTCAGACAAGATGGAAGTGTGAAAGCAGCTGAAACTCAAGTCTAGACGCATAATGGATAGAATATGTTGTTTGCTTTTGGCCTTTTTAGTATCTTCACGTTTTTTCAAAATTGTTTAGGTAAGAATGAACTTGGGGGAAGTAAAAGGGTTGACAAAGAAACTCATTGTAAATATATATTATTGTGAAATGAATTGGGTCATTACAAATTTTTGTTGTGCTCGTTTTTGTCTTCGACGATAATTTTGCTTCATATGTAAATTGTCTAGAATATGCGAACTCTGGTCTAAAACAAACTATGCTTTTTTCTGCTCGTGGTGGACAGTTAAGCAAAGTACTTAGGCTTGTAAACGGCACATGTAGAGATGCTAAAAACAAGGAAATTAAGGCCGGCTCCGATGCTTATGACACGAATTATTCAACTTAACTTTCCATCTAAGGGGGAAAAAAATTCCCACATGATCATGGATTTCTTTCTTTCCTTCTCTTTTTTTTTTTTTTTTTTTTAAGTCATTAAATTTTGTGATTCTTTAATACACCCTACAAATTATGCCTATTTATTTTAAATTTGATGATTAAAATTCAACAAACATATATTGAAAAAGAAAAACAAAAGAAAAAAGAGAATATTTCAATCCATTTTTAATTTTTTACCAACCCTGTAGTTAGCTGGGGCCAGAAGCCCAGTAATTGCATTACCAAACAAACTTTAAATTACAAGGAAAACAAAAAACATGGAGAGTGGGAGAATTCTCTTTTAAGAGCTAGAAAATACTTTGGTGATTTTCTTTTTGGATATATTTCACGTCACGACATCATGCATGAATATAAAAAAGAAAAAGAAAAGAAAAAACTAATTAGCTAGAAGGAACAGATTAAGAATTTGAGAGTACTATTTTTCACCCGGTCGTTCAATGTATTTTAAACATGCATTTCAACAAGAATCATAGTATTCATGATGAAAACAAAGAAGAAGCGAAGTGGCACACGGTTTGTCTATTTTTTTTGGTCACATCCATATTCTTCGTTATTTCCGTAATGGATGCCGTTGATCTTTCAATTTCTATGACCTGGAAAAATCAGATGGAAAATCCTTTCACTGGGTTACGGCTCAAAATTGAAGTACGTAGTTGCAATTTATGGTCCCATAAAGATGAATATAGACTTTTAACATCAGATTGATAATAGAAAAATTGCACCACGAAATTGTTAAAGAATTAATATTAAAATATTATAAAATCTCAGCAAACAATTTAAATTTTAAGCAAAAATGATCTTTGATATAATGTTAAAAATCTTAATGATCAAAATTTTGTCAATTCAAATCTTATTTCCTTATTCTTTCTTTTATCTTATTACCTTCATTCTTTCTTTTAATTAAAATAACCCTCAAATATTATATGAGTCCCTCTATTTATGATTTTGAAATAAAATGATCCCTCTATCTTTTTTGTTTTAATGTCTTTTCTCCACTTTTAAAATCGTCAAAATTATATCTTTTTTTTTTTTTTCATTTTCTTTTTCCTTCTCTCGCCTCCTTCATGATTACCACCCTTTCTACCCTTTTTGGTTTCAATATGTTGTATGGGTGAGCAAATGATTTTTTTTTTTTTTTAAAAAAATTCGGTTTGGTTTTTGTTTAACCAAATTATAAAAAACAAAAATCGAAATTGAATTGAATTAAAATTCGATTTTTTGGTTAAAAAACCTTAATTTTGATTTCAGTTTAAACTGAATTTTTTTATTTTGTTGATTTTTTTTTCAATTTTAGAACTTGAAAAAAAAAGAAAAAAATTACATTTGAACAAGTTATTATATACAAATAAAATTAGAGAATTGTACAGAAGTCTTAAAAATTGAAATTTGATTAAGAAATCCTAAAATTAACCAAACTCCTCAAAGTTTAATTAACAACACCATAACAACATCAAACCTAAAGTGTAATTTAGGTAAAACACCGAATAAAAATAAAGGTATTGCTAAATCTACCAAATATTTTGTTATTTTCATCAAATTTTTTATTATAAATTACCAACACACCACCACACATCAAGTTAGTGACTAGATAGTGATTAGATGTAAAGGTTTGTTAGTAATTTAAAATAAAAATTTGGTGAAAATAACAAAACACATGGTGGATTTAGCAATACTCTAAAAATATATAAAAAAAACTAATTCAAAAGAGGGGTATTAAGATTATAATCATAATAATCATTTACACCATCTTGATCTTCATCAAATTCATCATCACATTGATACACAGATCTAACAAGCCGTAACTAATTTTTTAATTGCACAATAACCCAACTTTTTTCCTCTCTTCCTCTTCATAATCACAATTCCAAACCATCTATTCACAAAAAACCTCGACGACGTGGAGGAGAGGCAAGGGGGCACAAATAGGGGTGTTCATTATTCAATAAAAGCTGAATAACCGAATCGAGCCATACCAAAATATCAATTTCGATGCGATTTTTTTTAAAAATAGAAAAACAGAATCGAAATATAGCTGGTTTTCGATTTCGATTTTTTCCCCTAAAAAATCAATTAAACCGAATAACCAAAATTATTAAAAATATATATATATTTTTAAATTCATCGATGAATGATGTCGTTCACTCTAGTCTTCACACCTTCAGTAATCAGCCCGCCCCTCGCCAATCAGTCCTCACCTCACCTCAGTCAACGCTCTGCTATTTTAATTGCTCAAATTAGCGATGGCAGGGCACGTATTTCATAGCTGCAACCTGCATGATCCTTAAGTGTATTTAATTGCTCAAATTAGCGTGCATTAATGTTTGTAGTGGATTTTTTTTATTATGGCTACAAGATCCTTAAGTGTACAAATATATTTAAATTGCTCCAATTAGCACAGATTAATGTTTGTACTGGCCTTTGTTTTATTTTTTTTCACCTTAAATTTACTAATTTATATTTATTTAGTTTCTGTCTTAATCTTTTTTTATTAAGGTTTTAAGTTAATGGTATTAAATCGTATTATTAATCTCATAATATTACGACATGTTCAACTTATTTATTTTTTTCATCTTAATCTCATCTCCTTATTCTTTTTATCGAATTCAAACATAAATTTTGAAAAAGGGAATATATACTTGGTCATTTTATCTAAAAATTAAAATATAATGTATAGAAAAAAGTACTTTTTTATCCGATAATTTCTTAAATTTTGTGAGAAAATTTTGTTAATTTTACTAAAAACAATGAGAATATAGATGTCTTTGTTGTTTTCATAGGAGTTCTTGGATGAGAAGGAAAAAAAACCAAAAATTTGTAAAAAAATTTATTAGTCATAATCATGTCAAGTTAATTAAAAGTGCCTTTCATGAAGACAAATAAGTCGACTATATTTGAGCTTCAAAGCATACTCTTTTTCTTTTTGGAAGGAATTGTTAAAATGTCATAATTGTAACATATATCTAATGGTATTAACTACTTATATCGATAGATAATAATAGATATTATTAGATTTCATATGGTAATGATAACATCTTATACATATATATATCAATTGATATTATATTAGTAATGGCTATTGAGGAGTGGTAAAATAATAATAAATAGGCAGAGTTCAATGAGATTCAATGAGATTGAAAAACGGATACATATAGGAATATAACCTAGAATTACAATGCAAGTACTAAACTTATTTTTTCAAAAGTGCATGATCTTTTCAAAAATCAAAAGTACATATAATTATAGGTGAAAACCAAATTACCGAACACCAAAACAATATATTTTGAAACCGAATTAAAAAATCAAATAATAATTCGATTTAGTTATTTTTTTGAAAAATTTGATTAATCGAAAACCGATCAAAAAATTTCAAAATTGAACCGAATAACCGAATGAACACCCTTAGGCACAAAGAAAGAGAAGGAGAAGAAGAAGGAGAGGGTTTGTGTGTGGGCGTGGTTGTTTGTGTAGTGTGGACAATGAAAGAAGAAAGGGAAAGAGAAGAATAGGGAAAAGAAATGGAAAAAAAAAAAGTCTAGAAGAAGAAGGAAATGGAAAGGGAAAGAGAAGAAGATGAGGCATAAAGAAAGGGAAAGAGAAGAAGGCTAATGGCTACTGCTTTCTATTAGGTTCGGGTTGTTTTTCATTTTCCTTTTATATGTAAAAAAATTAAAAAATCAATTTTTGATTAAATTGATTGTGAAATTTTTAAAATCGAATAGAAAACAAAACACCAAGATTATTTTGGTTTTTTTTTTTTTTTTTTTTAAAAAGTTGACTTCAAAAACCAAACTAAAATCGATATTTTGGTTTGATTCTATTCGAGTTCAATTTTTCGATTAACAATGAATTTTTCTCACCCCTATGTTTTAGTGGCTAAATCTATAACAATTGCCTCAATTGTAAGTATGTGAGTTCTTTGATATTTTTACTTACCTAATATCACATCATCTATTATTTCTAAAAATGATTTTGAAATTGATTGTTTATGTGTCCAACTTGAAAATCAATGAGAATTTCTAGATCAACACCTTATTGTTTTTTTTTTTTTTTTTGTGAATCAAACTTTATAATATAACATCCCGTAAGTTAACTAGATCGGTGTTACTTGATATTTTTATTTCCCAACTAGTATATTATTTTGGATATTTTTACTTACCTAATATCACATCATTCATTATTTTTTGGAATCAAACTTCATAACTTCATAACATGGCCACCAATTGAGCAAAATGTGTTTTTCCCAAAGTGTAAAGTTTGATTCCCGTCGAATTGCACACCTATCATATTTTGGCTACAACTTGGGATAAAGACATCAAAATTAGGTGATCTTAGACTCTTTTGAAAGATAAAAGATAGAGATAAATTTTATGAAGAGTCAAAATCCCATTTTGAAAGATTTGAAAGTTAAAACAAGGATGCAAGCTAGAAGTCGGAATCTATCCGAGCAAGTTTTTTAGCAATAGGGTCTATTCGGTTCAAAGTTCATATCTTAGGCTATAAAAGTCCAATTGATGAAAGGCTAGTTACATTGGAAATTTAAAATCTAACCCTACAATTCTTATAAGACACC